CTGAAACAGTAGAGCCCACTAACTAAATGTCACATGACATGCAAGATGTATTTAATGTCCTGAGCCACAGTCTGCTCTTCCTTTCCCAACAGAGAGGTTTAGTAACACTCCACTGTTCAGGGCAGCCAGGCCTCAAGGGCAGTAAGCCAGTTTCACTATCAGCTGGATGAGACTATCATTCTGCACTGGAATTCTCTTTTCAGACATGCTTTAAAAAATTAGCTTTCTTTCATTTTCATGCTGTAATTTTGTTTTAGTACTTTTAATTTACAATGATTTGACCTGCCAATAAGATGTAGGTTTAATTAATGCTATAAAAGGACTGAACTGGTATATACTTTGCATTTTCTTTCTCTTAAGGCTATTGAGAGATAAAATAATACGCATATATTGTGTGTACAGATGCACATCCTCTGCACTCTCACATACACCCCAATGTCATGATGCCAAGTCTGATGTTAAACTTTGTTCTGTTTATGATGATCAAACAGAACGTGATGCAACAGGCAAACAACAGGGGCCTGAACAAATTGTTATTTCACAACATTCTCCCTGAAAAATTCACCTTTTCACTGAGTTTAAGTGTCATTTTACACTATCTTTCTCTCTGAGTAGGCTATTTGTAAGGATATCTTTTCAATGTAAATTGTAAGATTTATTATTTTATTTATTTGCCGTCCTGATTTTTTAAATGGGGTAAAGGTTGAGACCACAGGCCTTACAATCATTGACTCCTCTGGGACTTGATTTAAAGGGTACCAAAGTGTGCTCAAGCATGAATTAAATGTATAGCTTCATAGATCCATCAAAGGGGAAATGCTGTTTTTCATGTGCATTCCTACATAGAGGCTAAGACTGCAATGTTGTGGACCACAGGAGATCATAAGGGCCTCAGTGCAAGGGCACTCAAGCAGGGTGGCTGTTTTGAAGACACAAAACTTAAAACTGGGCTGTCCAGTTGGGTAATGCTATTTTGCACCATTGGGGCCAGAGTTATCACTGAAGACATCATCATGTCCTCTAGGATTTTCTTTCACATTGTCCAAAAATGGATGAAAAATAAACGAATTCAGTCCAAACCCTCGCTTTGGGGAGTGAAGGAATCTTACATGTTGTCTACTGGCCCTTTAAACCGAGGAGGCGGGTCTACGAAGGGGGAATTGTTCGTTGTGTACGTGTGGCTGTTCTGGCTCTGCAGTCACCTTGTCGTCGGACCACACTGCGATTTGCTCGGGGTGACTGAAATAGGTGCTCACTGGGGGTGAAAATGGCGAAAATAACGACGGTGAAGACCAAGCCGTACACGGACCAGAAGCCGGGCACAAGTGGCCTGAGAAAGAGGGTGACGGTGTTTCAGCAGAACCAGCACTATGCGGAAAACTTCATCCAGAGCATTATCTCAGTCATCGAGCCTGCCGAGCGTCAGACGGCGACTCTGGTGGTGGGAGGAGATGGGAGGTTTTTCATGAAAGATGCGATTCAGTTGATCGTTCAGATTGCTGCTGCTAACGGGGTTAGTCAGAGAAACACTGCTGTCCACCTTTGCTGTTGCCTGTGTGTGTCGCTAGCTAAGCAAACAGCAGCTGGCCATTCAGACGCTGACTAGCATTTCTGCTAGCAAGGTAACGTCAGGCTAGCTGTCAGGTTTGTCCACTGTGGTCCGGACAGCAGCTCTTAACTTCTCCCCTGTAGACTGTAGGATATCTTGTGGGCTAGTGTACCCGCTTGGTTAGCTCATTATTTTTGAATGCCGTTATACAAACTCCCATAAAGACCAGACTTTAATAAAGATTGTGTCTACTCTGCGATTCTCTTAAGCAGTCGCTGAACTTGGAACATGTTAAAATGACAGGTGTTTTTCCTGCACTGCCCGGTGCCAGATTGACCGCAGTGACCTTTCGGATCTAGCGCATGAAAGGAGGGGATTGCCTTTGACATTTACACACTAACACCATGACTTCTTCCTTTTAGCGTATAAGATTTGGCCTTTTTGTGGATGTCGAAACAATGTCTGGGCTTAGCTTTGCACAAATCTGCAGATAGCTAAGGCAAAAAAAAGATGTGAGTGCGGTGGTAAAAGGAAGCATAACACCACAACACTGTGTTGCCTCACAGAGAGATGCCAATGGCTTCCTTCACTCTGTTACTGAAACGGTGGGTGGGGCGAGCAACGTGCGCGTTTGGCTGTAGCATAGATGGGAAGTGCGCGGTCGGGCAAACAGAAATGAACGCACAGGTCATTCAGTGTCTTGTTTGCGTGACATCTTCAGGTATTGAAGCGTCCACTGTGCATGACTGCAGCACTCACAGTTTCTGTGTCTGGTGGAGTTACTCCAAAGGAACCAATGGTAGATGCAGGTTTCGTTAGTGATGCCAGTAGGTTGTAGGTGCACAAAGATGTTCCTTTTTCATTTTTCATTTTTCCCACCTGTTGGGAAATAAATCATTGCCAGCTTTGCTCAGACAGTGGCACTGCTGTCCTTATGTTTACACAAACCAAACTGCTGAACGTTTAAATAGACATTTCCTGGACTGAGCCATTGACACAGAGAGTAAATGTTATTTTTATTTAATCTTTTCTTAAGCAACTGTTAGTACGGAGTAAAGGTTTTAGCCACTTGAAGAAAAGTGAGGATACTTTAAAAATAATGCCATGATTTGTAGCATGTTCTTCTTCTCACTGGAAATAATTCTTTAAAACTTTTGGGGGTCATTGTCTTGCTGCAGAAATAATTTGGTCCTGATCAAATACCTCTCTGATGGATAAGAATCTCAAGCATCAAAAACCTGCTTGTGTTGAGAATAGTTTAATTTCATTCTCTGTACATTTAGCGTACTTATCCCTGCCTTTCGAATGAAACGTAGTATTTTTAGATTGAGTGTCTCCATTTCTGTCCCTCTCCTTTTGTGTGTGCAATAATTCGGGCAGAATGGCATCATGTCCACCCCAGCAGTCTCCTGTGTGATCCGCAAGATAAAAGCAGTTGGTGGCATTATCCTAACAGCCAGCCACAACCCAGGGGGCCCTAATGGAGATTTTGGCATCAAGTACAACATCTCAAGTGGAGGTGCGTGGGGACTGCATTGTACCACCCAGTGATGGTCTTGTTACTCAAAAAAATGCAACATATTACTTGTTACTCATTAGTTATTACTTATTACTCCCTGTCAAAAGGAACTCGTTACACTACTCAATCCCTAAGCATTCTCTTTGCCTTTTACTTTGTCCCTAGGCCCTGCTCCTGAGGGCATCACAAACAAAATATTTGAAATCAGCAAAGGTCTGCAGGAGTATCACATCTGCCCAGAGCTGAAAGTGGATCTGTCCAAAATCGGCAAGCAGACCTTTGACGTGGACACTTTCAAGCCCTTCACAGGTGGAGAGCAGAGTCCTGCCATGAGATGCATGATAAACAGTTTGACAATTCATTCTTCAACCCCAAAATTGAATACCAATAACCTACAATGTGATTACAGCTTCTCTGCTGCTCCTAAGCAGGATATGCTCCTCTGATATATTGAATGAATGTTGTTCATGACTTATGACCTCTGTTTACTAGTGTGACCAGTGTGTGATAAAAGTTAATTTGCTATCCAAAGTCTGTATCTTGACACCCCAGGTTAATTTTTTTTGTTCTTTATTTGTCTCAGTGGAGATTGTTGACTCTGTGGATGCCTATGCTGAGATGCTAAGGGGCATCTTTGACTTTGCTGCACTGAAGGAGCTTCTCTCTGGAGCCAATCACATTAATGTGCGCCTGGATGCTATGCATGGAGGTATGGCTCAGCACAAGACAGGCTTTTGTGATGGGCAAAATAGCCTGAAAACTGTTTAAATTCCAAAGTTCTAACAGTGGCAATTCACTCTCTAAATTAGTGTGAACAGGGCTCATTTCATACTGGTGGCACCAGTACGAGATTTTGTAGCACCACCTCTGTTTTACAGCAAAATAATCTGTATTTTTACATCTCTAGCAACATGTGATGGCCTTTTCTCTCTCCAGTGGTTGGTCCTTATGTGAAAAAGATAGTCTGTGAAGAGTTGGGTTCTCCTGCCAATTCAGCAGTCAACTGTGTCCCGCAGGAGGACTTCGGAGGCCACCACCCTGACCCCAACTTGACCTACGCTGCTGACTTGGTCAAAACCATGAAAGGAGGAGAATACGACTTTGGAGCCGCCTTTGACGCAGATGGCGTAAGTTGACTTATCTTTCAAGGAGGGTGATTTTCTAACAGTTAAATCAGAGAGCGTATTGGGGAGAGGTGAGAGCAGAGTTGTGAAGTTCTTAAGCTGAATTGAATTTGTGATGTCCGCTCACATAAACTGAATTTAATTAGCACAGAGCAGAGTCAGGAGGCATGAAAATGGGCATGGGTCCTGAGGTAACAACAAATTATACTCTTTGACTTTGACACAGCCTTTACTGAGGACAGTGAATGGTTTTAGTTAGTTGTTTTGTTTTAGCTTTTCCTCTGACAGGTTTCATAACTTTCGTGAAAAGACCAAACCAAATTTTAGTAT